AAAAAAAAAAGATTTAAAAGTATTATACAACGAAAGAGAGTGAAATACGGCGAAAGAGAAGGGTGGTGGGGGGAGGGGAGGAAGGGGGTGCGGTGAGTCGAAGATGGTGAAGGTGCGAGTGAAAGGTGAGAGGGGATGTTATAACAGAAAGTTTTAATACGGCCTTGTGAATGCGGACAGAGAAGGAGAAGAAGAAGAAGAAGGAGACGTTTCTTAATTTTTCATTAAAATCATCACTTTTCTACCGCTTGTATCCCCAAACCGGCTTGACCGATTAAACATTTTTTTTGGCTCAAATTACTCCGTGGGGGTGCCCGCCCTTTCAGGACATATTAACGTTCGATTCAAAATTTTTTATATTTTAGTAGTTATGCACTCCCGAAAAAGATGGACTTTGGTGGCTCGGGTTAAAAGACTTGTAATGTCTTTTAGTTTTTGACCGGATACACTACCGCGTCTCCTGGTACCGATTTCTGCGTAAGCAGTCATCAAAAAAGTTTTGATTGGTTGTATTAATTGTGCTTTTGTAGAATCGAGGGAATTGGGCTTGAACGGCGGATCGAACGACGGCTCGTGTATTGAAGGCAAATGTATCAAACGTACCATGCAGGATATAGCCAGCGGCATGTGGTTCGGACCGCGTTTAGGAAGACGACGCAGATCGGACGAGAAACAGGAAGTGAGTCCCGAGATAGAAATTCTGGCGAATGCATTGGACGGTGTGCATTGGACGATTATTACGATTCCCGGTGAGAAATGAAATCTTTTGAATTAATTCATCATTTTGTTAGTATAAAGGTACATTTGATAATTTTTTTTCTTTTATCATAATTACATTTGATCGATAGTATTGTCAACTTTCGTTATTATCAATACGTTAAGTTTGCCTTTTTTAAATTTGTCTTTTACATAGCAAAATTCTTCGAGTAGTATCAAAAAAGCTTTCTTTTCACGATAAAAGTATGCAAATATATAAAGATATATAATTTTCGAATTATAAACAATTGTAAAAATAAAAATGCTTTTGTGAACAGTTAAAGATATGTCACTAAAATAATATAATTATTAAAATATAATTGTCGTTAATTTTTTACATGTTTCTTTATTAACTCTATTCAAATAAAATCCCAGTCACCTTTTTATTTTCTTTAAATTCTCATTGTAAAGTTCCATTTGGAAATTTATCTAGAAAAGCTATTTCATTTAACGTCCCTGAATAATTACTTCATTCCCGATAATTCAAATAGCTTTGAATGATATCAAAGTTTATTGACTTATCGATTTGTGTGAATTTCAAGATTTAATATACATATGTATAAATATATGTATGATCCATAATTTTCCTTATCATTGAATATGACTGTTAAGAATAAATTTTAGCTAACGACAAGAGACAACCGCCTCAATTTACACCGCGTTTAGGACGAGGATCGAACGAGAATCTATTCTCCTCTAGAGATGCGTATGAAGCTGATGAAGATGACCGTCGGTTATCGCCGCTATTCACGTCTCGCTTAGTACGTCGGTTTCCTTGGATACCGTCGCCGAGACTTGGACGTCAATTACGCAACGTATTATGAAGATTATAGATATTATATAAATGAAAGACAGATAGTCATTAAAAGTTGAAGAACAAAGTAGACTTGCGCGATTTTGTGTAGATCTGACGAAACGACAACCACAGCACTATTATATATATGTAAAATATAGAA